AATGCAGCAAAAGTGATGCTATGCCAGTTTAGGTGTGGTATTTAAGAGAACTGGAAGCTTTCACCTCTGTCTCTTGCAGCACTGAGCCACCATGTAAGAAATTCAGCTACCCTACTGGAGAGAGTAGCAAGAGAGACTCTGAGACTATATGGAGGGGAAGAGGGTGCCATTAGCCTTACAGCCATTTTCACCAAGGTACCATGTATGTAAGTAAAGCCACTTTGAAATCTACAGACCAGATCAGCCACCAACTAAATACCACCATACCATTTAATCCCAGTATATACTATGTGGAAAGAAAAACCATTCATCCAAACCCTGCCAAACTCTCTAACTTACAAAATCACTAGATAAAATAAAACAATTGTTGTTGCAAACCGCTAAGTTTGGGTAGTTTGTAATGCAGTAGACAAATGGAGAAGTTGTGCTCTAAGAAAACAGAAGTCTAAGAAAATAGGAGACTTCAGGTAATTTTAGTTAGGCTGGTGCTATGGTTGCAATGTGTCCCCTCCAAAATTCAGGTGTTGCCAATATGATATTATTGACAGGTAGGGCCTTTGAGAAGTGATTAGGCCCTGAGGGTTCCTCCCAGACAAAGGGAATAAGGGGCCCTTCTAAAGGGGCTAGATGGAGAGAGTGTGCTGTCTCTTGCCATCTGCCTGCCACCATGTGAGAATGCAGCAAGAAGGCCCTGACAAGATGCCAGAACCTTGTTCTTTCCAGTCTCCATTCATAACTGTGAGAAATAAATTTCTGTGTTTGATAAATTACCTAGTCCAAGGCCAGGTACGGTGGCTTACACCTAGTAATCCCAGCATTTTGGGAAGCTGAGACGGGTGGATCACAAGGTCAGGAGACTGAGACCATCCTGGCCAACATGAAACCTCGTCTCTACTAAAAAAAAAAAAAAAATACAAAAATAAGTTGGGTGCAGTGGTGCATGCCTGTAATCCCAGCTACTTGGGAGGCTGAGGCAGGAGAATCACTTGAACCAGGGAGCTGGAGGTTGCAGTAAGCCAGGATCACACCACTGCACTCAAGCCTGGGGACAGAGCGAGACTCCATCTCAAAAAATAGATACAGATAGATAGATAGATAGATAGATAGATAGATAGATAGATTACCCAGTCTCAGGTATTATATTATAGCAGCACAAAAGAACCTGATGTCGTGAACCACAAAGGTGGAACCAGAAAGTCTCCACATGAAGAAAATGAGTAGAATGAGATGAAGTATCCCATCTTCAAATAGAGCAGGAATCTTAGAAGTTGAAAGCATTTGATGACAAAGGAATTTCAGATCACCCTCTATTCATCAAAATGTTCCCTAGCTCTTTTTATATGCATTAAGTTCGAACAAATGAATGAATAAAATTAGTCTTAACTCAGTGAAAAATCTTAATTGTAGGCTATTTTATAATATGTGCATCTTGAGTCAGGTTTTCAAATTCAGTTTGTTAGGCTGGCCACTTCATTTAACCTCATGGTAAAGTCTAACAGCAAAGACTTTTAAAAACAAAGTTGCTACCTTTACCATTCCTTTGATCCAGTCTTTCTAGTCCCCTAAATCAGACTGTCGTGAATTTTCAGAGAAACATTTGCCAGAATCTTTGAGATCACTATTCTAAAATATTTTGAGATTAGTATAGTTTTCAATAGTCATTTGTTTAATGAATACGTTTAGCTGAGCACACACTATCTCATTTTATTTAGAAGGATTTAACAGTTTATCAGAAAATGTGACTTAATGATCAAGTCAAAGACCTTTCCAGAAGCAAAGCCTGGGTGGACTGAGTAACCCAATAACCTGGCTCCCCTTTCATCCCCCTACTTGTCCAATGGCTACACTATCATTTCAAGGTGCCAAACATAAACTTAAGGCTTTTAAGACTTTTAAGTTTTTATCTGAGCTCACCGCTCTTCCTAGCACCATTTAATGGCTTTTTTTTTCCTTTTAAGCTTCATTAGTAAAGGAGTATAATCTATTTTTTTAAATATGTTTTTATTTTACTTTAAGTTCTGGGGTACATGGCTCTTAACAGATGTTGTGTAAACAGAGTAATTTTAAGGGTGAAGACTCACAATGATCTTGGCAAAATGCAGTATCTTTCCTGCTATATCATAAAACATGATCCATTAAACACATTGATAACAAATGGAATTTGGAAAGGATATTATAAGCCAAATAAATCAGTAATACATAGAAAATTACCAAATGTGTTTGCTGTAAAAGATGACAAAGCTTCTGAATAACAAATATGATAACCTCTCAGATTATTCAGATTACCATTAATGTTATTGTTGTCTTTGGAAAACACTTCATTGTGAATTTCTCCCAGCTTAACTACTCTACAATGTTTCCCTAGGGCATGTGGGTTTATCTTTAAGCATGTAACCTGCTCTCCCATGTTTACAAAGTACTTCAAAGCCCTGGAAAATCAAAGCATTTAAAAGTATTAACTATCATTTCTTTCCTAAACTGGATATCTGCAATTTGATTAAATATTCCTGCTTCCTGCCATCAATGGGATCTTTCAACTCTGAGTTCTGGAATTGAGGATAAAAGACTTCATCAAAGAAGTGGAAAGGATTTTAGAATTCAAAGATTAGGAATAAGTGTAGAGAGTTGTCTTTAAAATCTGCATAGAAGTATAGCCTAAGTGAAACTATAGAGACACGGAGGTTAACTTGGGTCTGATACAAGAGTGTTTCAACTTGACTCAACATGCATTAATAACCCACTATATGTACTGGAGTTGGGTAGAAATAATAACAAAAGTTGGATGTAAAAAAGAGCATTTCTGACTGGGCGCAGTGGTTCACGACTGTAATCCCAACACTTTGGGAGGCCAAAGCAGGTGGATCACTTGAGATCAGGAGTTCGAGACCAGCCTCACCAACATGGCAAAACCCCATCTCCACTAAAAATACAAAAAATTAGCC